GTTGCTTAACATTTATCAAGATTGATAACTGATGTACTTTATAGGCATTTCAATTGTATGTGTTTTTTCAGTGTCAAAGTTCGATCAGCTGCTGTTACCTGTTTGAAAAACATTTTAGCCACAAAGACTGGACATAGTTTCTGGGAGATTTATAAGATGAAAACGGATCCCATGCTCACCTATCTACAGCCTTTTAGAACATCAAGAAAAAAGGTCTCTTAAGTAGTAAATGTTTATTGAATGCCTACTTTATCTAGAATAGTTCTATTTGCTGTGGGTTATGAATATCAAATTGATTAAAATAGTATTGTACTGGGGGGGCAAGGGCAACATACGTAACCTAAACATCTGTACCCCCATAATATGCTGAAATAAAACAAAAAAATAGTATTGTACTAACATTTAACCTTTCCTAGAAAAAATTTAAACTCGAGAGCAGGGGATTTGTTATTTTTTATTTATTATGACAGTGTGGAAAAGCTGAGATAAGTAACCTAGAGAAGTGATGGTTGATTTGCAGGGGCTGGTAGGGGAAATTCTTAGTGATAGGCCTTTTTTTTTCAGGAGTTGAAAACTCTTACTTTGCTCTCATGAAAGCCATTGAGTTTAGTTTGTAGGTATTGTGTTCAACAAACAAGTGTTTATTTCCATAGCATGTTAACATATCACAACCCCCTAGTGAAATATAAGATGACCTGTAGATTTCTCTCTTTTTCCAGGACTCTATAAAGGATATTTAAGAACTCTTGCTCCTCCCTCAGTCTAAGCATTCCTCTTTAATATTTTCACTTCATGAAGTGAGAAATATACAGTTGAGTTTTCACCAATTTAATTTCAGGATAGATACCCATCTGTGAAGTAGTACTTTCAGTGTATCATAAATATAATTTTGGTCTTAATAAAATTACCAGTAATATAAACTATTAATGAAACTATTACTTTATAGGTAATATAACCTATAAAGCACTATAATTTTTTTGTTTCTTTTTTATTTCAAAATATTAATTAAGGGGTACAAGTATTTTTATTACATGAATATCTTATATAATGCTTAAATAAGGGCTTTTGGTGTGCCCCTCACCAAAATAGTGTTCATTGTACCCAGTAGTTAAGTTTTTATCCCACACCCACCTCTCCACCTTCTCCCCTCCTTGGTTTCTCGTGTCCTTTATATCACTGTGTGCTCGTGTACCCATCAATTAGCTCACACTTATTGGTGAGAACATGTGGTATTTGGTTTTCCATTCCTGAGTTACTTCACTTAGGATAATGGTCTCCAGTTCCCTCCATGTTGCTGCAAATGAAATTATTTCATTCCTTTTTATGGCTGAGTAATACTCCATGGTATGTATATGTATGTGTGTGTGTGTGTATGTGTGTGTGTGTATACACACACACACATTTTCTTAATCCACTTATGAATTTAAGGGCACTTAGGTTTATTCCACATCTTTTTTTCTTTTTGAAATAGGGTCTCACTCTATTGCTCAGGCTAGGGTGCAGTGGCATCATCATAGCTTGCTGCAGCCTCCAACTTCTGGTCTCAAGTGATCCTCCTGCCTTGGCCTCCAAGGTACTAGGATTACAAGGCATGAGCCACTGTGCCTGGTCAGCACTATAATTTTAACATATAAAAATCTCATTTCATTTTGAAATCAAGTTTGTGTGGTAGATTTAGACTGGTTTTATACATGAGAAAGATGAGGCAGAGCTTGTGATTTGTATGATATACCCCTAGTGAGTGACAGAGCTGAGAGTAGAACCCAACTTTCCTGCTGCCGAAAGCAGTGATTTTATTTTTACAATACCACTCTGCCTCTCATATAAAAATAAATATGTTTTAATTTTAAAAGGTAACCATTGCTTCCACATTTAGTTTTAACTTTATTTAGTTTTATTTGGAAACATTCGCTTGTGCCTAGGTATTCATTTTGTACAAGAACGGTAAAATGATTTTCTAATTCTCTCATTTTCATTTTCTAATCCCTTTCTAGTTTTTAGAAGTACCCAGATTTGATAATGAAAACCCTTTAGAAGGCCTGGATGATACAAATCTGTGGATTCCTCAAAGTGAAAATCATGACGCTTGGATAAAGACACTGACTTGCGCTTTTTTAGACAGTGGAGGCACAAAAAGTGAAATTCTTCAACTATTAAAGCCAATGTGTGAGGTAAGAACATTAATTAGTCTGAAATCATTTTTTCTTTGCTTTTCCCATTCCTTTTGGCTACTGTATCCATGCTTATAATCTATACATCTAAAAAGTGCTGTGATACTGCACATGATCTTTATGTGCATCCACATATCATCCACATCCAGTTATTATAAATTTATTTAAGTGGGCATCTTTGTTTAGCCATAAGTTAATGCAGTAGGTTTAAGCTTTGGGATAACAAAATACTAGATGAGTTCTAAGACAGTGGTCCCCAACCTTTTTGGCAACAGGGACCAGTTTTAATGGAAGACAGTTTTTCCATGGACTGGTACCGGTCTACAGCCCGGGGGTTGGGGATTGCAGTTCTAAGGGTTGCCTTGAAAAATTTGTTACTAATGATAGTTAAAGTAAATACTGATGATCATAGATTATTTACATTAGCCAAAAGTTTTCTCTAACTTTGTTTACTGCTTCTGACAACGGCATAGTGATTTACTTTCCCTGATATGCTTTCTTGAATGAGAAAAAGGGGTAGGGCAGCAATTGGCATTGCTTTTTTATTTTTGAAGGTATTTTAATTCAATGAAGACTAAAAGTACGTACCAAATCAAACAAAACGTTTATACTCTTTTATCAAATGTGTAATCCAAAACCAGCACAAAGTTATCTAATTTTGTAGTGTTACCGAACATGATTCCACAGTTATGTGAAAACACAGTATCATTTTAGGTCAGGTATTTGCAAGTTACAAATAACTGGGAGGGAAGTATTGTGTTAGAGCACCCACATTGAAAAGAATTTAAAGAGCAGCCCTTATTTTCTACAGAAAAAGTAGTGACAGTAAATAAGTCATAACATTCTCTGTAATATTATACTGCACTCATACCAATTCACCAGAGCGGTACCCTGGACATACACACAGCTTATTTTTCATTACAGAACAAAGCTAAGATTTTTATAAAGTTTTCACTTAGAGCCAGAAGGTAAAATATTCCAAATATAAATATATACACTCCCCAATTCCTAATACCTTAAATTCTCTAGCTCTACAACTGGCTTTTTGCCTTATCTTTAGTTTAAAAAGGAAAAAGTATGCAGTTAGTAATCTACAGTCCATTTTGTGTGTAGAATAGGATGAATGTGATGGATATGGAGTATAACCATTCATCCATTTGATGAATATGGAGTATGGTGAATGGCAAAAATAAAGTTGAATACTGTTTTGATATACCACTTTTCTGCGCTTTGGACTATACCACAAATAATTACCCAAATTTTATACCCCAAAATTGGTGTTTTTAAAAAGCGAACATTTTTAATGTGAGTACCATAGCTCTTCACTGAGTGAAAATGCATAAAAATCAGATTTTTAGCTTTTCTCTTAAACTTTTGATACCTATTCCTGCTATTATCAAATCAGAAAACTGCTTCTGTTATTAATAACACTTTTCAACTCTGAAATTTTATTTAAAGTAGTAACAGAATAATTTCATTTGTAAGCAATATCATATTTCACTCTACTAATGGCCTAGACTGGAAACGAATAATTATAGTGTAATTAACATATATGTTTGGTATTGATACACTAACCTATTATGATTTTTTTTAAGCATTTCCTGGTACACATACTTTTTGTTTTTCAGTGGTACATTGAGTTTATGGCAGATTAATCTATCATCTCTTAAAAGTTTGTTATGTCAGCAACAGGAAATTAAAATTTTAAGTAAAATGTATTGTTTTTACTCAAACTATTGAGTGGGTATATTTGTATATTCTAGGTGAAAGCTGACTTTTGTCAGACTGTGCTTCCATACTTGATACATGATATTTTACTCCAAGACACAGATGAATTGTGGAGAAATCTGCTTTCTAAACATGTTCAGGGATTTTTCACCAGCTGTTTTAGACACTCCTCACAAACAAGCCGATCCACAACCCCTGCAAATTTGGATTCAGGTATTCTCTTAAATTTCTAATGAATTCTAACATTTATACTGTTAACTTCTCAGTTCTAGAGAAAGGTAGATTTAAGTTTGAATCCCATCAGAAACACTTCATTAGCTTAATTCAATAATTGATAACCTCAAAATTTGTTTCCTTATCTATAGAATGGAGATAAAAATTGTAACAAGGTTTCAATGAAACAATGTATGTAAATAACGTAGGATAGGTAGTTAATGTATAGTATTACCTGTATAAATTTTCGCCATTAACAGTACATTACCGGCCAGGCGCAGTGGCTCACGCCTGTAATCCTACCACTCTGGGAGGCTGAGGCAGTCGATTGAGCTCAGAAATTCAAGACCAGCCTGAGCAAGAGCGAGACCCCGTTTCTACTAAAAATAGAAAGAAATTACTTGGACAGCTAAAAATATAAAGAAAAAATTAGCTGGGCATGGTGGCACATGCCTGTAGTCCCAGCTACTCAGAAGGCTGAGGCAGAGGAATTCCTTGAGCCCAGGAGTTTGAGGTTGCTGTGAGTTAGGCTGACGCCACGGCACTCTAGCCTGGGCAACAAAGTGAGACTCTGTCTCAAAAAAAAAAAACAAAAAAAAACAGTACATTATGTAACTGAGCATTCAGTATGTGTTAGGCACTGGGCTTGCACTAGCAATATGAATATGAACAAGGCACACCCTACATTCTAGCAATGGAAAAAAGACATAGACAAAACACATAATCAAATATTGATATGTTTGATAGAATTTTCATATTTTCAGAGCTCTGGCCAACTCATTTAGAAAGCAACCTTTGTATTACAAAATCATGCCTATGTGTTGTAGAAAATACAGAAAGATTGCACAAATTTTTAAAAATTAATTTACCCATAATCCTGTGATCTAAGATTTGTTATGATCACAGTTAATATTTGGTATATATTCTTCTAGTTTTTTAAAACAAAAATTTAGTTGTATTTTTTCTTATAACCTACTCTCCTTCTGGTAATATATGATATTTCCCATGCTAAAAGCATAATAGCAAAAGAAATTCTACCACGGATTGGGTACATATAATACATATATGCATAATTGAGAGCTCATTATGAGTCAATTTTTCAAACCTAAATTTTAAAAAAGGATACAAAATTCACAGATCTCTACTGTTAACTAAATCATATATTATTAATGTATTTTATATGCAAACATAAAACGAGGTACAAATTCATATATTGTATATCAAGACCAATACAATTCTAATAAAAATACTGATTTAATATGATGTTTTGCTGCAACTAAATTGTTCCTCCCAATCTAACTATGGTTTCAATCACTTCAGAAGGTTGTGATTACTCAATTCTTCCAATTGTTTGTTCTGTTTTTTTTACTACTGCAGCCTTTATTTGACATGATTCTAATGTGATTTAGACTTCACTGTGCTATGCTTTATCTTTTATGTGCTTTTTCTTTTGACTTACAGCAATTACAAATATACTACTTGCAATAATATAGAAACATATACATGGATGCCCATTCTGTGGTCCTACTAGATTATCAGATGATCATCTAAATGATCCAGAATATGCTTGTATGAATTTTCTTTAGGCCATTGAAATAAACATCCTAAAATAAAAATTCTCATAGAGATATTGCAAACTACCCAAAATATATTTCTTATCTTTAATTGGGGAAATAGAGTTATAAGTGATTGACAATTAATAGTAAGCATTTAAAATTTAAGTATTATGTAGTTTATAGCACTATTAAAACAATTTTATTACATAATTAGCTTAATATTATCATTGCTTATGAGAATGTGATAATTTGTTATTATGAACATGGCCAAGACTTTTCTTTTCATGTTTAACATTTATACATATGTATTCATGCTACAACCATTCAAAGGTAAAATCATCCAGTTTTATTTATCTCTGTGTAGAGTGCCAATATTTTTATTACCTTAAGTCAAAATTTAACTTTACATATAAAATTCTGTTATTGAAAAGGAAAGTAAATGTAGATTTATATAAAATTTAAATGATATAGTATCCTTTCTGATGTCTCACGCCTTCGTTTGAATGTCTCATGTGCATCTCAAACTTAATTGTCCAAAGTAAACTTACCATCTTCTTCATCCCTTTTCCTACCCTGCTTCTTTTAATGTGTACATCTTCAATGAATGATGCTCAGTTGCCCAAGCTTAGAAACCTCTCTTACATAACTGATTACCAAATGCTTCCAGTTCTGTTATAAATCACTTAGTCTATCTTTTTCTCTCTGTCTTTACTGCTTTCTAGTTCTGTTGTTCAGCACAGTTGAAATTCTTTCATTAAATTCTCCAAGTTCTTTCTTGCTTCCAGCCATCTCAGATGTTGTACTATTGCCTGGTTTACTCTCCTTTTGACTAACAATTACTCTTCTTTCAGGTATCACTTTTTCTATGAAACTTTTCTTGTCCAGATGAGGTTCCCTCCTATATGCCTCTATAGCATTCTAAACTTTCCCTCTTATAGCACTTACCACACTGTGTTAACAGTTTCCCAGGCTAGCGAGTGAGTTCTTTGTAGTCAGAAATAGTCTCTCTTGTTTGTGTTTGTATACTGAGGACCTAGCACATGAAAGATCCTAGATAAATATTTATTAAATCAATGAATTAGTCCCCCTCAGAAATAACATATAAATTATAATGTAAATTCTCAATTTTATTAATCATAATAGCTTCTTTTAAAAGAGAAAGAAATGCCATTAAATTCCATTTACTCATTCAAATTTATTAAGAACCAATTTTGTGTTAGGTACTGCCCAGCAGAATCTTATTAATGTAGAGGGAAACAGACACATAAACAAGAAGGAAGAAAGTGAAAAAGCAAGAATGCTTGGAACTGAGAGGAGATATCTTTGTTTGTTTGTCAGAGTCAGAGCATGTTTTCCGATGCTGTTTGGATAAAAAATCACAAAGAACAATGCTTGCTGTTGTGGACTACATGAGAAGACAAAAGAGGTAATGTAATCAGTGTTCCTTCTTGAGTTTGGAGATCTAGAAGTGTAAGTGTTAACTGCTTGCTGAGTTTTAACATTATTTTAGGTGACGTTGCCGCAAAGTGCTGTTTAATTCGTGTGATGCTTATGTCTTCTTGTGATAATCCATATTCAGAGTGGCACTTTGGTTAAATCTGTCAGGAGCTCTCAGTTGTTGTCCCAGCTGAACCAGTAGCAGTGTTATATTTGCTAAATCATGCAGCCTTTTGGGCTTTAGTTTATTTCGTCTATATTAGTGGTGGGAAAGGAGCAAGTGATTTTCAGGGTTACTTTTGGTTGTGTTATCCCTCTTTTAACTTTTCTCTTTGCTTCTAGTTCTTAGAAGTAAATAGAGTTGTGTAAACATCTCTTTTATGTATTTTTATTATAAGATATGTTTCTTCACTGTGTGCCATGGTCTCAAAATCCATGGTAATACTGTAATACTGTTATGATGATGTTTATTTTCTTGATTCTGGTAAATTGTTTCATATACAGTGTAGTATCTTTGTTTCTATTATTTCTCATGAGATATTTAAGAGTGTGTGCAAGAATTGCTTGCTGGAGGGCTGGTCTGACTGATCTGTACTGCTTGAAAATTGACCAGAACTCTGAAGAAATAGTATAGTGGGCCTATCATTTAAATAGGTAGGAACTGATGCCTCGTTAGTCTATTATATAGTGATGGTGGCAGTGGTTGGTAAAGAATGGAAGGAGAAGGTGAGAGAAAAATGGAAAAAATTTTAACCCAAATACATTCATATCTTGAAAAATTATTCCCTCTGTATCTCCTTTATACTAGTAGAAAAAGAAGTTTTATGCCCTTAAGTGTCTTTGTTTTTGGTTAGAAAGTTACTGATTTACTTTATTATTTTATACTAGATTCTTTTCTGAGAAAGCCCATAAGAAGCTTTAACTGTAGCTGGGAGCATCTATTTTCTTGGTGTTGGGAGGCAGTTTCACCTTTGAGTCTTCATTTCAGACTTATCATTGGGGTAAAATAGTATTGACATTGACAGGACTGGAAAAAGATAAAAATCCTTAATTTTCAGTTTTAATTCAGAATAAGACCTTAAAGAAGATTCCTTCAGTACCTCAGTTACTCTCTGAGGTATATGTTGTTCCAGGCTACAGTGGAGGAAACAGGAAACTGAGGCTTCAGAAGTTAAGTTGTCAAGGATCTAGTAATAGGTGATAAGTAATGTAATAGGTAACGTAGATAGATTTGAACCCAGCCGTATCCACCTTCAAAGCTAATGCTCTTAACCACTACCTTGTGACACCTCTATAATGTTAGTTTTAAAAAAGATAATATTTATGGTCCTTTTAATTCTAACCTACTATTATTACAGTAGAAGATTTTATTAAATAACTCAACATAGGTAATAAGGTAAGGAAAAAATGAACCACAGTAGGAAAGACATGTAATTGTACCTTAGAAGAAACAGAACATTTTTATTAAACTATTTTATATAGAGAGAGAGTGTGTGTGTGCGTGTGTGTGTGTGTTTAGCTATTCTGTGCATCCTATTCTTAGCCTGTGGTGCATGGATCTCTTGGTGGAGAGCACGTATGAACCCCAGATTTGTATGGCATGATGGTCTATAGTTTTCATCAGATTTTCTGAGGGGTTAGAGGGGGAAAAAACCCCAAAAGATTGAGAAATAGGACTCTTCAGCCATGTTATCTTATAATGTTTATAGCTATATATTGGGGAAATGTCATTTTTGGTTATTTGAATGTAATTTTCTGTTTGGTGGTTGCTCCCACTGTATTCTATAATACATCAGCATACTTTTCATTTGATATTGAAGTTAAAGAAATGGAATAACCTTATATTTAATTTTTCTTTAGACCTTCTTTAGGAACAGTTTTTGATGATGCTTTCTGGCTGGATTTGAATTATCTAGAGGTTGCCAAGGTAGCTCAGTCTTGTGCTGCTCACTTTACAGCATTACTCTATGCAGAAATCTATGCAGATAAGAAAAACATGGATGATCAAGAGAAAAGGTAATGGAATTTAGAATTTTTGGCTTTTAAAATTGGTGTTGAGATTGTTTCAATAAAGGTGTAAAGATTTATTTTGTCCCCTATTTCCTATTTAAAAGACATTTAGATAGAAATTTTCTGTTTTAAAGTGAAATGATAAATTTTAAAAGGAAGTAATTCTGCTTTGAAATAGGAATGTTTATTACTTATATATATTATAAAATTATGTAGATAGCAAGCTCCTGAAAGACAGACATTATACTTATTTTTCTCTGCGCTCCCCATAACAGCTAGCGTTGGGAACTTAATGTAATGATCAGTAAATACTTTTCAAGTGATTGAATGATTCTCTAGTTTCATTAAGATTTGGTTTGCCACTAATCCCTCAACTATTCAAGATCCATTTTATTTGTTGACTATAAAATAATGTGATTGATTTCTTTCTGTGACTAAATAAATATCATTTCTTCAGCTACCTGTATTTCTACCTAATTTAATTTGCTTTTCTCTGAGTGAGAACTCTCATAAGAGTCTAATAAATGTAGTCCTAGATCATGGTGAAAAACAGAAAAAAAATCAACCAAGAAAGTAGAAGAGTAAAAACTAGACTCTTTATTATCCCAGCTGCCCTCCTCAAATCTTTGTTCATTTGAAATAGCCTAGTGTTTATTTTTACATTTAGCCTCACTTTCCCACCATAAAATGAGTCATATGAAGAAATCGAAATAGCAAAGGTATATTATGTTGATATATTTATCATTCTCACTACTGGTAATTTTTACTTTAGATTGTCATTAAGTTAGAAGCAATGTGGTTTTTAGATTGTGGAAAACCATGAATCAGATTTCAGATCCTAGTCTAATTAGGAGATGTGGACCAATTTCTTAACTCTCTGGTTTGGTATTTAATTTCTGTTTTTCAATTGGAAACAGTTATAAATGTATAATATGTAGGAACTGTGCATAGTATGTAACTGGTATGTTCATGATCACTATAAACTTCTTATGAAGACAAAAGTGTGTTGTGCTTGAAGTATATAATGAGTAAGAAATTGATTACTGCCTATCTGAGAGTCTTTTAGTCAGGGTCTGCATACTTGTTAGTAGTTATTATAATCTGAATGTGCTTTAGTATCTTAGTTTCATAAAATAGTATTTCTTAATAATCAGGTGAATTATTAAGAGAATAACTTAACTATTTGATGAATATAAATAAAAGCACATTTAATTTGAAGGTAAGTGATCATACAGAATGTAGGAAGCTTGCAAAATTGCTTATTTCAAAGCAGATGTGCCTAGATTTTATGTTGGTTAACTTTAAGAAAAGGTGCCTGACAAATAGGGCTTGCTGTTTGCCTTGACTGTTTGTTTTGGGTTTTTTCCCCCACAGCTGTCTGATGGGAAAGGGAAAGCAAATAGAGAGATGAGATATATAGAGTTGGAGGAATGCTAGTTTTCTTCAGTGGCTCGTTAGGTGAGCTGAGGCTTTGTAAACTAAAATGGTCAAGAAAAATATATTTGTAAGAAAAATACAGATCAACAGTTTACCAACACTGTCAAGTCAAGGAAATGAATCACTTTCTTAAATTCAAGTTGTTTAATAGCAAAATCCCTCATACTGGATATTCCAGAATACATGTAAAGTTTTATTTGTTCACTTGTTCCTGAGAAAGTATCAGATTTCAATGTTAGTGTCCATAATTTTTTTTAGAAAGAAGTAAATTCAAAACAACTCCAAGCAGGATTTAGACAACACATGTTAGTTTACACCCTCAGTTGTCTTACTATTTCTAATACATAAGGCCATGTCTGACAAAGTCCTGGCAACTCTGTAGGTATTTGTTGCCTGGATGAATTGCAACCTTAGACTTAAAAAGTCATACCCGCTAATGATACTACCTTCCCCACTTTCCAGATTTCTCCTCTAGAAATTATTTTTTAATATAATATGCCAATAAGGAAAAGAATACATGTGATATGTGTACATGAAGGTTATAAAGCAAAATAAAATACTGTCAGCAGCATTCTTTCACTCAATGCTCTCTCCTCTCCCATCCTCCTGTGCTCCTATCAAGAAGTAAATATTTTTTGAGTTTTTTGTTTCTCATTTGTTTGGATGATTATTTTTGACATGTAACTAGGAACCCATAAATATGGTTTAGTTTTTTTCTATTTTTGAGCTTAATAAGAAATTACATGTATAATTTTCTGTACCTTGTTCTTTCATTCAGCATTTTTATATGCTTTATCTGTGCTATGTGTTGCTGTAGTTCATTTGTGACTGCATATAATGTACCATTGTGATAAGACACCACAATTTATTTACATATTCTCTTATCAATTACATATATCTTAAGTGTAGAATTACTGGGTTGTAGGGTATGCAAATTTTCCACCTTATATGATGGTGCCCAACTGTTTCTTAAAGTGGTTATACCAATTTGTATACTTATCAGAAATGTATAATTGGTAAGGAAGTGGATCAGGAGGAAGCCTTATATTTGAAGATCAGTAGAAAACCAAAGTACAACTATTTCTAGATTGGGGGAAAAAAGTAAAGAAGAAACTAGAATAAGTTTATAGGTAAATATTAGAGGCACTATCACTTATGATAGTATCTATTTTATATATTGGATTATAATTGTTATAGACACCATAGCTGTTATGATTTTAGACTTTAAGTTACTTATGTAACTCGATATCATGTGTGAATGCATGGTTTGAAGCTAAGGCCTTGGGAGTAGACCAATCTAAGTTCTAATCCTGAATGTAACTTATTTCATAATCTTAGTAATTTTTTTTTTTTTTTGGTCTGAGTTGAGGTCTTGTTCTGTCACCCAGGCTTGAGTGCGGTGGCATGATCATAGCTCACTGAAGCCTTGAACTCCTGGGATCAAGTGATTCTCAGCCTCAGCCTCCCAAGTAGCTGAGACTATAGGTGCATGTCACCATGCCCAACTAATTTTTCTATTTTTCATAGAGACGGGGATCTTGCTCTTGTTCAGGCTTGTCTCGAACTCCTGGCCTTAAGCAATCCTCCTGCCTCGGCCTCCCAAAGTGCTAGGATTATAGGTGCGAGCCACCACACTTGGCCCATCTGCTTTATATTTTTTTTTTTTTTTTTGAGACAG